CTTTTAATCTATTTAAACAAATGGCATACACATTTAATATTGGCTATTACATAAAAATAGTGTAGTAGACAACTTAATTGTATTCAGTATTTGGCAGGTAAAACCAAGTCTGACCCTCAATACATTCTTGTTCATGGTTTGATCATAAGTTAGGAACATGATTCAGTAGAACTGTGACTGAGGGAGAATCATGTGATCTTACCATGTACTCCATGTTTGAGGCAGGGGGGTACACCTGACCTCTCAGCTTATTATGTAGGTCAAGAATCAGTTGCATATCGCTCTGTGAAATTGCTCTTTTGCCCCTTGACTTGGATTGCCACCACGCTTCATCCTTATCCATGTATTTTTCCAGGATGGCTTCTAAGTGGGTGGCATTGGGAATCACCATGGAGACCACAGTTTGGACAGTCACAAGCAGAACAAACCCACTAAATAAATCTTCATGTCCACACTTCATGTTTCCACAGCTGTCAGTTACAAAATCCAAAGTGGTATCTGTCCTCTGCCTGTGAAATCAAAATCATTTTTTATCATGATGATTTTTAAATAATTTTAATGCACACAAATGTATACTATATATACTATATATATATATATATATACAGATTTTTTTTTTACATAACGTAATACAACACAATAATTATTTGTGTGCATTTTAATTTGCATGGATGCTCAGAAATAGATCAGTGCACACAAGCCTGACTGAAAAGTGCAGTTTCACAACTGAGCTGATTGTTTCTCACTTGTCAAAGACTTGTGTACGCCTTTTGCCACACACATGCAATATTTCATACGGTCATTAAAACTAATCACACAAGCCTTTGAAGTCTGTAGTGACTCTAATGCTACTTTTAAATAAATTATCTTTACTAGAGTTGCCCTTATAACACTTGTAGTAGCATCAATTTCTATGACATATTTTAAAATAAATGTTAAGTGTTATTCTTACTGAAATCAAGCAGCATTTTACCTTTTGCCGGTCTGCGCGAGGATGTTTAGCTCCGGTGTTGACTGGCTGAAATAGTTATTCACTGCTGTTTATGTAGGCTATTTCAAATACACGTGTCCCCCTGTTTTGATCTGCTTGAAGTTTCTTTATGAATGAGTCATAATGAGTCATTGCGAGGCAAAATAGTGTACGTTCAAATGTTTAAATTTGTGAGGCTGCTTATTTATTTTATAGTGAACGTTTAAGCCACGCCCACAACCACATCGACACACCCACAGCACCGAATCACATATACCGGTGAAAATATAAGTATTCTGTATTTCTGGTCTGCGTATCTAGTCAATAAACATTAATGCTATTTTTATTTGTGTCCGTGTGGTAGGTAGACCAAATGCCCCCTACAAAGATAGTAAAATCTGAAATGTTTGACCTTTTGGGGGCATTTTTGATCAACTGTAGTTTTTTTTCTTCTTTTATCCAGAACGTTTTCTGTGAGGGTTAGGTTTACGGGATAGAACAGTATATTGTATAGTTTGTAAAAATCATTATGTCCATGGAAAGTCCTCATAAAACATGAAAATCTAAATCTATCTATCTATCTATCGGACAACAATGAACTGTACAGTATTGTGATACTGTGTCACAGATCAAACAAACACTAGATGGCAGCATTGAGTGATTTGTGAAGCTTTGAACTCCGTGAACTCTGAATGCTCTCCACAAACATGAAATTTGGGCTGAACAACTATATGGATTTATTTATACGTAACACAACTGATTCAGCTTGGATTTTAAAGTGAGAAGCTTAATTTATCACATAATAATCTGGTATATCTGGCAAAATCACATAATATCAGGTACTTCTCCTGTAATCTTAGTAGAGAACGAGTTAAAACTTCTCTTTAGATGTATACATTACAATGTGTGCATCTGTGGAAGAAGTCATGCAATTGGTGAAAAAAATTATATGTCTTCAGTGTGAAAAAAATGGTAATTTCTGTGTATCTGTTGGCTGGGGAGCCTTCAGCAGGCCCAGTTAATGTATGCAGTGGTTCTGACCTATATTTTGCTGAGGGAGCTGGGTTGTTATGTTTGTTATTTGGTGGTGGTGAGGGGGAGTCTTTCAATTTCTTTCTGCTTACATCCATTGTCAATATTGATGGTCTGCAAAATAAAAATAAGGGTGTGTTATATTTTCCCTGAGCAAACATACTATTGGTTCACTATTTCTCATATTTCAGCTTAATCTTGCACAGTGATCAGGATTATTTTCAGGTGTCTCAAAACTCTGATTTTTGAGGCCTGTAGATCTGAGGACAGCTCTGAATTTTTCATCAGAAACAGAATAGAAAGGCATACAATAGAAGCTACACAAGTGGTAAACAAAAAAAGAAATAATACAAAAGAAAATCTGGAAAGTGGATGTGGAGCAGTGCTGAAGAACTGTCCAGGAAAACTGGAACCATTTAGCTTAATAGACACACGATTATACAATCAATAAAGGCCATGTAGTGCAGCAGCCTCTGAAAGACAATGAAACAATAAGCAACATGTGCCAGGAAAATCTTAGAAATGTGTTTACAAATGAACTCAGTACATCTCTTGAACTCGAAGAAATGTCATGTTGTGTATTTGCAAAAGCAATGTTTTAAATGCAGTGTCAACCTCATGTAAACTGTACCCCAAAACACACACACTTCCAAGTAGTAAAGACTTCTTTATTAGTATATTTTCTGCAAAAACAAACAAACAAAAAAACTCCATATTGGGCTGAAATAAATAATCTCAGCGCAATATGTGCTATCTTGTGTGTAGTGAGATTTGAGGGCATATCGATATACCTATCTCTTATTTAAAAGAAAAAAAGAGAGAAGAATACAACACCGCTACTATACGCTGTGAATGAACAACAAATGTCAGTTAATAATCATCTCAATGAGCCACCAATTGAAAGAACTGTTTGTTACAATATTCTGGCACAAATAATGTAGTATATATAATTAATATGAGATTATACCATTTAATAGCTTAGATGCACATCCTCTCTTCCAGAGAACTATAAAAAAAAGTAAGTGGAGTTGGGGAGAGGTCACAATCTGAGGTCATGTAAGTGTAACCATAGCAACATTATGTAAAGCAAATCAAATTCAGAGTAACAATCCTTGGCATATAAGAGCACCATTCCATGATCATTTATCATGGATTGCCAATCTAAATAGGTAAAAGCATCAGGCACACAACAACATAAAATATAACTCAACATATGAAAACTTTACATGACCAAATAAAAATGTTGAAAATGCATTCAACATTATCATTACAAAAACCTCAGAGTGCATGGTTTCTGCTACTGAAAATACACAGACAGCTATAAAAACTTCTTACGTCTTTTCATTACCAAAAAATAGCTTGAATGTTTTATGTTTAAGCACCTTGGAAAAACCCTGATGTAACAGACTTTTAAAAAATGAAGAAATAAATGTGTATAAAAGTGGAATATAAACACAGAGCGATCAGCACAGACCTCATCTGTGCACCAGAAGAAAATATAACTAATCTATCCATAAGCATCAATATGATGGCTTATCATAAAACAGTCATGTTAAGATTGTATTAACATTAGCACCATTTCTGGAACTGATAGTATCACATACATAAAAAACAACCATATCTGCTGTACAAAATGCATATACATTTAAAAGATATGTTACACAGTACATCACTGTAAAATGCACACAATAGCATAAAAGGAACAATTCACCCAAAAATGAAAATTTGTTGAAAATGTACTCACCGTCCGGCCATTCAAGATGCAGATGAGTTTGTTTCTTCATCTGAACATATTTGAGGAAACTTAGCACTACATCACTTGCACGCCAATGGATCCTCTGCAGAGAATGGGTGCCGTCAGTATGAAAGACCAAACAGTTGATAAAAACATCACAATGATTCACAAGTAATGGGCATGACTCCAGTCCATCAATTAACATCTTGGGAAGTGAAAAGCTGCATGTTTGAAAGAAACAAATCCATCATTTAGGCTTTTATAGGCATACACTCTTAAAAATAAAGGTGCTTAAAAGGTTCTTCACAGCGATGCCATAGAAGAACCATTTTTGGTTCCACAAATAACCATACAGTCAAAGGTTCTTTAAAGAACCATCTCTTTCTTACCTTTTTATAATCTGAAGAACCTTCTTTCGCCACAAAGTACCTTTTGTGAAACAGAAAGGTTCTTCAGATGTTAGTTGAGGAAAGCAACACTATGAAGCACCTTTATTTTTAAGAGTGTAGTTCACCCAAAAATGAAAATTCAGTAATTAATTACTCACCCTCATGTCGTTCTAAACCCGTAAGACCTTCAATCGTCTTTAGAGCACAAATTAAGATATTTTTGATAAAATCCAAGATCTTTCTGACCCTGCATAGACAGCTACCATGTTCAAGGCCCAGAAAGGTAGTAAGGACTTTGTTAAAATAGTCCATGTGACATCAGTGGTTCAACCTTAATTTTATACTCATGCGAGAGTATACCATGACGGATGCGTATGATGCTGCTGATGCAGGAACCGGCATTCTAACGTAAAACCCAGATGTGCTGCACCTTGTTTTCAAGCAGAAGAATGCACACGCATTGATCTCTTCTGATTCAGACTCTGATTCTGATTTTTCAATGGAGAAAACAATATTTTGGATAGAGGACTCCTATTTTAACCAGAAGCAATGGTTTTAATATCTTAACGATGAATCTGTTTATTAAAAACTCACAGGTTTTCACTTCACAAGATGTTAATTGATGGACTGGAGTTATGTGGATTACCTGTGTATTATTGTGATGCTTTTATCATCTGTTTGGACTCTCATTTTGATGGCACCCATTCGCTGCAGGGGATCCATTGTTAAGCAAGTGACGTAATGCTTAATTTCTCCAAATCTGTTGTGAGGAAGAAACAAATTCATCTAAATCTTGGATGGCCTGAGGGAAATTAGCAAATCAGCAAATTTTCATTTTTGGGAGAACTATTCCTTTAAACATATGACAGACAGTTTATTTAAACCAGTACATGAAGTTTGAGTTGATGGCAGGAAAGCACATGTTGTTGCTGCATGAACCTCCGTAGCTTGGAGGGCAGGCTGAGCATGGCACACCGACTCTGTAAGGTGCATCACCAATCCAGTTGCCCCTGAAAAATAGGACTGTTTTAAAAATATACCACAAAGATGAGCATGCATAACACCTTAGTCATGTACTGGGATTATCAGATTGAGAATGGTACACTCTGTGCTCTTGAAGGGTGTAAGATCTGGCTAGAGTTGCATTAAAATATAAAAACATGACTAACTTTGGAGAATAATTGCAGACCAAGTACGTTGCCTCCCTCCATATGACGCCCCACACTACCATATTGTAACAGGTTTGGATGGCACATCCAACTCTGTTTGATGACGCCCACACCATCTGTAACATGCAGAGAGTGTCAGACATTTTACTGTTTGCTTAATCTGAATTATGACTTACAACCAAACTCACTTGTGTGTAATGTGTGCACATTGGTCCATAACAGCGCATCGGACAGCGGGGATTGCAGTCATGTGGGTATGGAAACACATAATCTCTGACCTCATCATACCAAGGTTTAACCAGCTGAAGAATGGAGCGGTAACTGGCAGGAGCAGAAACAATTAAGATGCAATTTAGAAAATGGGAGGGGGTGTGGGAGCATTATCCACTGGACTGCATCCAAAACACAAAATTCTGGTCTGGCCCATTGCCTTGAGTCTTGTTCATTGTTTGTAATTGGATAATGCTGCCATAGTGACATTTCAAGCCATTAAATGAGCACAATTCTTCTTTATTGTAAAAAATAATAAAGATCTGAGAGGTTGTTCTATCAATAGCAAACAACTGTTCACATGCAAGACTTACTTGCCAGTTCGGACTGAGAGGTTTTGACCCAGATATCGGAGAAGGTAAGGAGGTCCATGTTCCCAAATACAAGTGGCTGCCCAAGCTTCTGCTGACCTGGCTAGGTCTTCATTCCAAAGCTAAAACAATATAACAACAGAGGTAATTGTGTGAAATAAAAAATTAATTATTAATATTTTACAATTTTTACAGCTGAAACCATGAAGGACATCATATCCATGTCAAATAAACTGGAATTTAATCCTACACACACACACACACACACACACACACACACACACTAAATGTACATAAAATGCACATAAAAGCAAGACATTGTGATTATACAATAAATCAACAAGTATTTTATCATTTTTAAACTCAAAAGTACATTTATCGGTGGGATTAAATGGTCTATTATAACAGGCTTTAATAATATTTTATTGTATCCAGCAGGAGGAGCTGTCGAATTATTTAAATGCAGTACCGCATGTCAATCTAATCAGCTTTTTGTAGTTTTGCTATTGAGAGATAAAATGCTGCATATTGTTTCTTTGGAAAGATGAGAGGGATGAGTTGGTTGCTTACCATATATTCCATGTTGGCTGCAGGTGGGAAAACATTCGCTCGCACCTTGTTGTGATAGTCCAGAATAGCTATCATGTCACCTTGCGAAATGTACCGTTTTTGCCTTGATTTGGGTATGGACGCAAATCCGTCATTCACCATTTCCGATTTATTAATAGTGATATTGGTTCCGATGAGCGTTTCAGTCGCATTTCTGATAATCCAAGCGCTCGCATCACTGGCTATGAATAGAAGAAGCAAGTCGGTAAAAAAGTTGATGCTCTTCATCCCTCTTTGGTAAATGATCTGCGATTATCTGCAAATAAAATAATACTCATGAACATTTACATCTCAAAATGAAATATAATTGAAACAATGAGTGACATGATATTTGAAATATATAAAATATCATATAAATTATATAAAAAGTTTATGTAGGTTTATATAAATTTCCTGCATCAACATCGTACCGTTGAAGTGTTCGTAGGCTATCTGTTTGAGTGTGCGGCGAAGCAGCAGCTCCGTGAGTCTCAGTTATCCTGATGGAGATCTCTCATCCTGTCCACTGCTGCCTCTGGCTTTTATACTGTGCTGTTGTGATTCAGGAGGCAAGCGCAAGGTGCTCTGCTACCCGCGGCACCTGAACAGGGCATGCTAACCATGTTTCCAGCCAGAATCAGGCCAGCTCACTATTTTACACTCTTAATAGTAGTAATACCCTTATGAAAATTAACCATGGTTTTACTACAAATAAAACCAAACAACCATGATTACTATAGTTAAATCATGGTATAAACAAACATAAAACCATGTCTGCATTTGTGATCGGAGAAATGACAAACAACAAGCGCTACTCTACACTGCTCAAAACTCGCGTTTGAATCATCAGTGGCAAATCCTTTAATTGAAAACGTACTTACAGACTGTGAGTCAGAACATAAAGGAAAAATTGAAATCGCATCATATGACCCCTTTAAACACACACACACACACACACACCAATTATGTTGAAAAGTCAGTGTTGAATAAAAAGCTTTCAAAATTTTTTGTCATAATCCTTATTGCATGATGTTACATCTCACCCCGGTGGATATCATAATGTTACATCTCACCCCAGGGTATGTTACAACTAACCCAGACTATGGTGTGAATTGTAACATTTCACTCCTTGTGCAACTAAACCATGCATTTTCTGTTTGTGCTGCAAAGATAACAGCTATGCCATTTAATAGCAGACCACTGTAACTAGTGTGAATCACATTTTGAATGCACTGGTTTAAAAGAATTCCAAGATACAGACAAAAATGTAAAACATGCTAGGGTATGTTACAGTTAACCCGGACTATGGGGCGAATTGTAACATTTCACTCCTCGTGTTTGAAACTAAACCATGCATTTTCTGTTTGTGCTGCAAAGATAACAGCTATGCCATTTAATAGCAGACCACTGTAACTAGTGTGAATCACATTTTGAATGCACTGGTTTAAAAGAATTCCAAGATACAGACAAAAATGTAAAACATGTTACAACCATCCTCTATACCTTAGACACCATATTAAATTCAACACGGATTGAAAACGAAGCTGTGAGGGATAACCGGTCTTTGCAATGGCATGCATATAAAGTTCCTATAGATCATGTAATTTTCACAGGACACAACTTTCAAAACATTTTTGAGGTTTTTGTCTTCAGACAGTTTATTTTTCAGAAAGATGTTCCATCAGTTGAACAATCCGTATGTTGTTAATCCATTGTACACACTGTCCCTCACAGTCTCGTTTTCATTCCTATTAAAAATTAAATATGGCACTAGGTCGATAGACTGGGCAGAGACAGGTAGGAAACAGATTTCCCAGATAGGTGGTTCTATAGTGTTGACATGAGCAACAATAATTATTCAGAAACTTCTGACCAATTAAGTATTCTGGACAGGCAGGCCTGTAATAAAACTAATTATAGGCTAGTGTGTCATTAGTTGGCTAGCTGTAAAAAAATATATAGCCTAGCCTGCCATGTTGTACTGGATGCAGTTTTGTCTCCTTAAAAAATGACTAATGTCATAAAACATTAGTCTATATATGTAAAATGGTTACATATAGCATAACCATTTTTTGTGGAGATTAAAACATTTTTACAGACATAACTAACTTTTCTCAGTGTATTTAACAGCTTAGGTGTAGAACGTCAGTGAGATATGTTTTTTGTATTATACATGTTTTTTTATGTCTTATTCATTCAGTATCATTATTCATGATACACTTGTTCAGTGTTTGAGTCCAAAGAGCCCATTTGCCAGCATGTGTGTAAAGCCAAGTTAAGAAGCCCTTCAGAGGCATATCGTTTTCTTTGGCAGGTGGAAGCTGAGTAAGAGCAACGTGACGCAAATATGACCCCACTCCCCCTTCAACTCTCCTCCCTTCTTCCGCTGAACTGTGAATTTGCAGGTTTTCTTGGAATTGAGTGCTACTGCTTATGCATTCTTCAGTCCAGAAGGGAGATGTTTACTGTGTCCAAGCAGTAAGGAAAACATTATATCATGACTTTGCAACTTTTCAGTGGGTCTCCTCTCAACTGGACCCAATAATAATTATATATTTATTTATCTTTTAAGTAAAGCCTTTGTAGTGACTTGAGATGCAAATTTGCATATGCTATATTCTCTATGTACAATGCTTTTTTCAGTTCTTTGGCTGCATGTTTTTTGTACTATCCATATCTAATAAACCAGGGTATCCAAACCTATTCCTGGAGGGCTACTCTCCTGCAGAGTTCAGCTCCAACCCTAATTAAACACCCCTCAAGGGAGGTCTTTATCACTTTTTTTTTTCTTTTTCATGTTCAAGCTGTAGTCCAGTGCTTTTATGGAGTACTGAGAGGATTGTTGTGCTTGGAGGTTCTCCCTACTCTGATATCTTATATAATATCAATAACATGAAAGCAAGGATTTAATTGTTACTAGAATTTGCCTTGTATCATAATTGTTGGGCTAGTTTCTCTGTCATCCCTGAGTCTAATCTGAGCACAATTGTTAGCAAGTAAACAATAAAGCAAGAAATTATGTCAGACATGTTTTCACATTCTGCAACAAAAGACAAAGATGTAAAGATGTATTTGATTAAGCAAATATCAGATACACAAGATTGCTTGCCATGGCTGACACACTCTTTGAGGGCATGTTGACAAATGTTTTTTAGTTAAATGTTTTTCATTACAAGCTGTCAAGATTGTCATAGTTCTTTTTTCCAAAGCACTTTACGTTACACTTATTGCAGTGACAGCTCCCCTGGACAGACAGTTCAGGTTTTAGTTCAAGAACTCCCCTTACCAAAAAGAAGTATACTTCAAGTTTATTTTATTAAGTATACTTAAGTAAAGTTCAAGTATATTTTTAAATATACTTTATGTAGCCTAGTAAGTATACAAATATCAGTGTACTAGTATACTTGTAAGTGTACTATTTCAATCCTCCTTGGGACTAAATTGGCCCACTTTCTAGTGTATAAAATTTACTTTTAAGTATAGCCTACTTTAAGTATAACACTAGTAAACTTTGAGTACACAACTGGTTTACATCTATGTTTTAGTTTGTACTGCAACTATACTAAAAGTGAACTTATAGGCATACTGATAGTTAAATACTTGTAGCATTTTAGTACACTTTGAAGTATAGTCTCAGTAAACTACTAGTTTAGTAGCATTTACTTCCTAAACAGAGCACAGGGTAATAAAGTCGTTATTCTGTGACTATGAGCTGCCAGTTTGCAAGAACATCATTGGGTGGAGCACACAAAGGCTCAGCAAGGATGTGGATGGTTTGGCAGTAGAACTTTTGTTTCTTCTACTCTTCAGTTACAGCTAAACAGTACTTGTCCACTAAATTTGAATATGCATTTTAAAAGTATCAAACATTAGTTCATTAAGTAATAATTAATTTAATTAGCATAATACTAGGCTGAGGCCAACATGCATAAAAACTGCAAAAGCTTGCATTTTTATATCATTTTACTTCTGCTGAAGCTCAGTCTGTGTGAAATGTATCCTTCAACTCAAAAACAGCCTGAATGGTTCCTCCATTAAAAAACAAATATTGTGCAGAGGTGAAAGGAAATCCATAAGATTCCAGATATTCATTAACCTTATTCATCTGGTTTCTTGTATACTGTTTTATAATTTTCTTACTTTTCCACAGATACTACGCTATTTAAAATGATGCAGTTTCCAGTTACGTTTATTTATCTAATGTTTCTTTATACACTTTTTGTCCCATACAGTATATGGCATAGTTTGGTGATACTGACACATTATTGAAGTGTCTTTCTGCAAAACTGAAAAAGAAAATGAAATAGCATTTGTCCATTTTATTAAGGCTATAATTGAGGGCATTAAATTGGAGCATTGTCCTGGACCCTGTTAAGAGGGGGTTCCAATAAAGTCCACTCATTATTGAAGCACAGTTCAAGAGGGCACAAATGGCAGCATAAACTGCTATACTGTGATGGTACACAATACTTCATATGATATCAAAACTCATATCTGAACATATTCCATTCGTTGGTCTTTCACTCTGTCAGAGTTTCGTTCGAAAGGGTACGCCTGTTTCATCCGGAACCGGTGCTTTCGGAGGATACGATCAATTGTGGAGAGGCTGATGGCATTTATCCCTCGAAAATGGGGGAAACCTTTGAATCTCTCGCAGGCGGATTACATTACTGGCAATGACCATGTTTACAAGCTCCCTCTCTTGCTCCTCCGACAAAAGCCTTAGCCTGCCTCCACCAGGTGGTCATCTCTGTGTCCTCATTAAGCACTCATTATTGTAACTGTCACACATCCTTTTTACAGGAAAAAATGGAAACATACTATGGCGTTATGGTTTTGAAATTTTAGTTCAAAAGCCTGGTTATAGTGTTTTAGCAATCGAGAAAAACTGTAAGCGTTGCTCCAAAAGAAAACATGCATACCTTAAATGCATTGTAAATGGCTTTGGATTAAAGCCAAATGCATTAATATACATATAAATGTCTGAATCTATCTCCAGAACCTTTTGATACATCATAACAAAGGGTTGCACTGTAGGTATGAATTTCAGTGAGAGCATAGTAAGTGTATGTGTGTGCGTGTGTAACAATTCTATCTGCATTCCAACATCTTTTTTCTTCCTCAATTCACATGTATGCCAGAAAAGAAACGAGCTCTCAGTACCATATATAGAATTACACTACAAAAATAGAACTAACAGATGGCATTTACAAATATTCAAACTATTACAGTTTTTCTGAATTGCTAAAACACTAAACCCCAATCTCTGAACCAAATTCTCACTAGCTTAAACCAAGGTGTTATCAAGGCTGGATCTGTCAGACCAGTGGGGGTTTTCTCTTTGTCTAGCAAAAAAGACAACATTACTTGTGATGTGGACAAAGTCCTCAGGCCGGACTCAAGCACAAAGA